AAATAAGGATGTTATTCTGCTTCAAATCTGCGTTTCCATCTGCAGTCCAATACTTTTATGATTTTGGCAGTATATTGACAAATAATGCTGGTACCAAACCTGAATTATCAGACTTATTTTTATACTTACAAGTGCTATACTATCAATATGATATATATGTCTCATCATTGCATTGGCGTTTTATAAGGTTCTCTTTGTTCTTTCCAGCTTTTTGGTTTGGTGAATACTCTTCTAGAGAACTCAAGAAAAACTGCAGAAAAAGATCTTTCCATTCAACGATATGCAGTTATACCGTTGTCTCCCAACAGTGGCTTAATAGGATGGGTTCCAAATTGTGATACCCTTCATCATCTGATTAGGGAATACCGAGATGCAAGAAAGGTAAACTTATTATATACTTGGTAAGTTTCGTGTATGATCATTGACCTTCATCCTTTTTGTGTGTTTCAGATACCTTTAAATCAAGAGCATAGACTTATGCTGGCTTTTGCACCAGACTATGACCACTTGCCTCTTATTGCTAAGGTGGAAGTATTTGAGCATGCTTTGCAGAACACGGAGGGAAATGACTTGGCAAAGGTACCCTTTTTCTTTTTGTTGTGGTAACAGCAATATCCTTTGCAATGCAGATTTATGATTTCTGTAACTATACCAAAGAATCTTGAAAACCCTGCTTCTACGTATCAATTTGACTATGTTTTGCAAGAAAATTTTATATCTGAACTGGTGATATTCTTGTAGGTTTTGTGGCTGAAGAGCCGAACGTCTGAAGTTTGGTTAGATCGCAGAACAAACTATACAAGAAGTTTGGCTGTGATGAGTATGGTATGCATTTTTGCTAGATCTTAACAATTTCTAGGTGTGTTACTGTAGTTTGTCATTTATATTCAGGATTTCTTTTGAGGTACCTAATAATTTCCAGGTTGGCTACCTTCTTGGGTTAGGGGATCGCCATCCGAGTAATCTTATGCTTCATCGTTACAGGTAAATAGCATATGGAATCCACTATTAAAACAAAAAAAAATATCATCAGCCCCCTTCTTTTGAGGTGTAAATTGTTGATTTATTTTTTCAGTGGAAAAATATTACATATTGATTTTGGCGACTGCTTTGAGGCTTCAATGAATCGTGAGAAGTTTCCCGAGAAAGTAAGTAACTTGTTTTTCACAAAAGAGATAGCTTTTTATTGTTTCATTTTAACATTATGGGTTGTTATTTTCATGCATAAGCTGCTCCATGGATTCATGTTTTAGTTACTTATGAAATAAAAATCATATGACAAAGGTTCCATTTCGCTTGACTCGGATGCTCGTGAAGGCTATGGGAGTTAGTGGGATCGAAGGCAACTTCAGATCGACTTGTGAAAATGTGATGCAAGTTCTTCGAACAAATAAAGATAGTGTCATGGCCATGATGGAGGTAAAAGCCAGTCCTAAGAGGCTGTTCTGAAAATGTAGAAATTTACAATTATTTGAATTTTGTAGTAAAATCATCTTGATAATCTTCATTTGGATTTTGTTCTTCACAGTTCTAGCACTAGAAATTCATCTCTGGACTAAAACTGGTTGGCAATATAGGATATGGTCTTCTTTTTCTATAGTATCTTAGGAGTATGTCAACAGTATTGGCAAACAACAAATCAAAAGCCTCTAGTTAACTTTTTCTTGAATGTTGGAACCAGCAGGTCCTATTGTGTCAAATCCATGTGTTTGTGTACTTTTATCCAAGCCAATAAATATATTTTCTCATTTCATTACGAGGGTTAAGTAGGATCGTGATCTGCAAGGCAAAGCACTCATAGTTACAAGGTGTGGTGTAAACTAAAGAACTTTGAATAGAGGAAGTGCTGAAGCTTTTTGGAGGATCCTGATTTCAAGCCTTTTGCTTTGAGATGCTTGTAAATATAATAGCAAATTAGATGTAGACTTTTGATTAACGTAATAGACTTTATTAATCTGATGCTTTCAGGTTTTGCAGCTTTGAACAAGCGGTTCCTTTTTATTCCTTTTTGGGTTACTCCCGTATATAAGAACTCGTTGTGGAAATCATTGTTATCACTGAAAATAATTCAAAGCTCTGATGCAAATTAGCCAAGTCTTTTGCTTTGGGATGCTTGTAAATATGATAGCAAATTAGATGGTAGAATTTTGATTAACGTAATAGACTTTATTTATCTGATGCTTTCAGGTTTTGCAGCTTTAAACAAGCGGTTCCTTTTTATTCCTTTTTGGATTACTCCTATATATAAGAACTAAAGGAAGCCATCATAGGTGACAAACTAATTGTTGCTATCATTAGAGGCACTTATAACCTTCATGTTTATAAATCCATCTCTAATATTGTGGATCCACTGCTACCATCATCTGGATTGGAAAAGTATTGATGGGGCACTACATAGAGGTCTCTTTTTGTCATATGCTTTCCCCTTTGCTGCCAGACTTCTGGCGCAAGCCAATTAATAATGTATATGGAATTAGTGTCACACGGCCGTATCATGTTAATGATGCACTTATCAACATTTATTGATATTACTGGATTTAAATTGGAGACATGGATGGTTCATTGTCTTTTGTGTAAAAAACTTCGTAATGTCTTTTGCCTACAATTTACATAGTCAATTGAGATTGTTTTCTTTGGTTGATGTCATGTGTTTTTCAAGTTTAGATAAGCAAGTTTAACTTTTTGTAGAGTTTAATCTGCTCAGCAGTTGCTTTGTGGTTCCTTTTTCTCAGGCTGCAAATAAAAACCCTCTTCAAACTAGTACATGGATCTAGCATAATGTTTCTGAAGCATCATCGAGCAAGATCATTGTTCCTTTTTAATTTTAGCTGCAATTTTCTTGAATGCTTATGCTTAGCAAGATTTATTTCTAGAGTTGATTCAGAGTATGATAGGACTATGACCATCTCATCCTAAAATCTCGGCTTGCCATGGCCTGTTGCACTTCCATTTGTGCCTTGAATTGTTTGTATCTTGGGTTTATTCTGATGTGTTTTGTGGCAAGAAAGCAAATAGATCTATTGAATAGGCTCAGTCTTATACATATGCATAGTGTTTGAAGTCTGCATGAAGTATATTTCAGATCTTCAGAATAACCCTACTATGTGAACTAAGTTTCAACTAAGTCTTATACTATGTGCTTGTTTTTATGTAAGCTCTTACCTGTAGAACTCACAGAACGAATATAAGTATCCTGTTCTTCGGATCATGTTGAAGGTTTAGTGCTAATTTTACTTTATGATTTAAAAGGGCATTGAGTACTGGAGTTGTTTTTTTTCTCTTTTTCAATAGTGGATCTTTGCTTGGTTCAGGCTTTTGTCCATGACCCTCTAATAAACTGGAGGCTGTTCAACTTTAATGAAGTTCCTCAAATGTCAAATTATGCGACAACCTACGTCCATCCAGTTGTGAATAGTGAAGAATCTGCACCTAACAAAGAGCTTCCTCAACCTCGCGGTGCTCGTGAGAGGGAACTGCTGCAGGTTGTTTATAGGGTCCCATAATGATGATCTGGAATGCCTTGCTTTTCTTTAGGTTGAGTACTCATCATGTCCTATTTATAATATTACCTGCAGGCTGTCAATCAACTTGGTGATGCTAATGAGGTCCTAAACGAGCGTGCGGTGGTTGTAATGGCTCGAATGAGCAATAAGCTCACCGGTCGGGACTTCTCTTCTGGGTCATCAGTTTCTGGGGCTGGCAGCTCCATTCAACATGCACCAGAAACTAGTAACTTGATCTCTGGAGATGCCCGTGAAGTCGACCACGGGCTGTCTGTGAAGTATCAGGTCGACAAGCTTATTAAACAAGCAACATCGCATGAGAATCTGTGTCAGAACTATGTGGGGTATGGATTTCTTTTTTAGAACTGACCACATAATTCTACTGAATTTTCATTTAAGAATTAGTTTAACTAATCGTTTCTCATTCTGATTATTTGTTTCTTGTAGGTGGTGTCCATTTTGGTGAAGCTGTTTCCCGAGATATGTAGATATTGCACATAGCTTGTACATATCTGGCTCCTTTGTTTGCCCTTCTGGGGTATTATTGTCTTATCCTTTGATATTTGTGCATAAAGGAGAATAATAACATAGTTCCAGTATTTTTATTTATTATCAATGAAGAATAGGGTTATCAGCATCGAACCTCTTATTGCTTGAGCAAAGATGATGTCGTATGTTCTACTTTTTGTCTCTCTTGCTTGGCAAAGTTTGAAATTTATAGCTCTGGTTTTCTCCGTACAATATTTCTGAAAATAAGATTTCAACGACCTGATAAATATCAAAAGATACGTAGAAAATAAAACGGAATAAGAGGGAATAAGAATTTTCTATAAATATTGATTGTGATTATTCTATAAGTTTATCAGTAGCGATATCTGTATTATGATGGGCTTCATTAATATTATTTTATTATTTATTTTTATTAAATTATTTATTGAATTAAATTTTGAGATTTTTTACTTTTCATGATTCGTTATTTTTTAAGAATCTTACATTGTTATCAGATTCAACGATACTCGTGATTTGGTTAATAAAATTTATATTTTTTTTAAATAAATAATAAAATATTTAAAAATAATATTTGAATCTAAATTTTTTTTATATGAATTAAAGATCTTAAACTCTTCAGGATAATTTTAAATATAAAAGCTTTGGAATCTCGATTTAGAGTTCTAGTACATTCTTCCTCCGGATCTTCAACGTGGATGGCTGGGATGTGCAGAATCTATGGATCGACGGCTGCGATGTGGAATTGGACGGGAATATCATCCCGACAACTCCGAGAGGATCTTTCTCTCTCTCTCTCGACGTGAGATCGAGTCTTTTTGAGCCTCAAACGTCCATTTCTTGGTGCAACTTCGATCGAACACCTGATCTGCATGCAACGAGGGATAAATAATAAAAGGAGGAACATTGGAAAGCTGTTCGGATGTGCGCACGACGACATCATCCACAGCATCAGGATGAGGATTTATGGCGCTTGGACTCCACAAACGCACCCTTCCGTCCTTATCCAGCTCGCTCGAGGGATAAAACTCGAAGCCCTCTCACCACCTGCGGCCCCGCGCACGGCCTCCTCTCTTTGGTGATCCCACAGTAGGAAAAAGGATGCAGCGGAACGGCGAGGCCAGTCGACGCATCGCATCGATCTCTGCCCACCTCCATCCGCCCAGCCCTCCGGTTCTTCCCTCCTTTCTCCAGTGTTGTTACTCTTGTTTTTTCACCTTCCTGCGGATTTGTGCTGAATAGATGAGATCTTGATGGTATTATCATGCGCTATTCGGAGGAATTCTCCGAAAGCTTTGTCTTTTCTATTCCCTTTCGTCTTTGTTTGGGTTTATAGGTTATATCTTCCTATCTTGATGTTCGAATACGATAAAAAGTCGGCGTCTTGGTGGAAATAGCAAGCAGTGCCTGCTTAATTGTCGTAAAAATTGAATTTTGATTCTCCTCAATTTCTTCTACTATTTCATTTGGATGTTGGATTGCGAGTTCTACGATTTGTTGATTTGGTGATTCAATAGTGTACCTTCCCTTCTTCTTCTCTTGTTCTTTTTCTAATAGCGAAGGGTTTTGATCTCTTGATTGCTTCTGTCTACATCTTAGTCAGAGAACACAGTAGCAATTTGCATTGGTAAAGTGTCACCGAGGAGACATTTTAGCAGTTGAGGCACAGTGTACTCGTTCGATTATGGATGCTATGCCATACCTGAATGGAAAGAGTAAATATTGGGGGGGGTGGGAAAAATGTACATGTGAAGTTGGAGTTTAATTGAAGGTGATATAAACTTTACCTTAATGTTGTTTGTTTTCCATGCTAAAAGATGCAGGGAAGTACGTCACTGAGACGGGCTGATTGCCGGGCGAAAGGAGGAGCACCCGGATTCAAAGTAGCAATACTGGGTGCTGCCGGAGGAATAGGACAGCCCCTGGCATTGCTGATGAAGATGAATCCCCTGGTGTCTGTTCTGCACCTCTATGATGTTGTCAATTCACCTGGTGTTACAGCTGATGTTAGTCACATGGATACTGGTGCTGTGGTAAACTTCTCCTCCTCTTCCTTTGCAATTATCTCTCGGTACATGATGATATAGCATGAGAAGGTCTTGGATTTCTTTTTTTTATTGAGATAGGATTCTCATTGGAAAACTATAATAACTATCCCGATTTCTAGTTAATGTTCAACTACATTAATCGCTTTAGGCTCGCATGATAGCACGAGAAGGTCTTGGAGATTTTTGTTTATCGAGCCGAATTCTCACTGGAAAACAATCTCAATTTCTAGTTAATGTTCAACTACATTAATCTTTTTACCTTTCATGATAGCATGAGAAGGTCTTGGAGATTTTTGTTTATCGAGCCGAATTCCCTTCCCTCCGGAAAACTATCTCAATTTATTTCTAGTTAATGTTCAACTACATTAATCTTTTTTGCCTCATCTCTTACAGAAACTCTGTTTCTAGGAGAATTACGGTTAACGATTTTAATGCCAAAGGAAGCAAATAATTTCTATATTTTATGATTGCTCTATTTACTGGAAAACGAAATATTCCAAAATTTTGTGGCTTAATATCTCACTTGGACAGATTGATATCCTCGTAAGAGCAGTTATAATTCTTGAGCCCCGAGTGTGCTTATGCAGGTTCGCGGCTTTTTGGGTGCACCTCAATTGGAAAATGCACTTGTTGGAATGGATCTTGTCATCATTCCAGCTGGTGTGCCAAGAAAGCCAGGAATGACAAGGGATGATCTATTCAAAATCAACGCTGGAATAGTTCGGACCCTATGTGAAGGGGTTGCTAAATGCTGTCCTCATGCAATTGTGAACTTGATCAGCAACCCAGTGAACTCCACTGTTCCTATTGCAGCAGAGGTTTTCAAGAAAGCTGGGATCTATGATCCCAAGCGCCTTTTGGGAGTGACAACTCTTGATGTCGTGAGAGCTAATACATTTGTGGTATGACCCTGTGTAATTTGTTCTTCTCCCTTGATTACATGTCGGTCATCAACAATAAATGCCTATATAATCCTGCATGTTCTTGGTTCTTATCCTTGGATAAATTATAGAGCTTTTATTCTTCTTCTATGATGCATTTACAGGCTGAAGTACTGGGCATTGATCCAAGGGAGGTTAATGTACCTGTGGTTGGTGGTCACTCAGGAGTTACCATATTACCTCTCTTGTCACAGGTCAGGAATCCTCTCAGTTAAATCTTATTTCTTTGTTGCATTTGATCTTTTCAAACACATTGTACTCAAAATTTGATGTTATGTAGGTTAAACCTCCATGCTCCTTCACCTCGGAAGAAATCTATCACCTTACTAACCGCATTCAAAATGGTGGAACTGAAGTTGTTGAGGTAAAAGAATTTACTCCACTAAAAGAGTATTCTTTTAGATGGATTTTCGGAACTTATTATCTCTTCACTAGTGAGTCCCCTCACCATGCCCAAATGCTATGTTGGTTCTGATATCAAATGTCATGATCCGAGCCTGATAGACTAACTAGTATAAACCACTGATCAAAATGTTTAAGCTGAAGTTTATAATAGTACACTCATCATCAGACCCTTGTAAGTCAATCTTAATCTTGTCCATTTTCGACGTGGGACTAAACAGGAGTGTTAATTTTTTCCTTGTCTCGTAGGTTTGTAGTTTGATGATTAGTTTGCAATGGCTGCTAATCTCATCTCTCTTGGGACACTTTCTGCTTCCATTGTAATTTTTACTTGATAATTTTCTTCTTTTTCCTCTGTTTTGGCTCTTAACCCTGCAATATGATATGGACTCACATCCATCTCTCCATTGTTTGAACAATATAAGCAATATTTCTCAGCCTCTCATCATCATCTGACCATTAATCTCTCTAAGATCATGCATGTTTGCTCCTTTTTCTTTTCTCATCTCTTGTTGATGTATTTGAAGTAATGACATCTGTTGCTAGTGTCATGCATTTGGGATGCTTTTTCCCTACTCTTTGTGCAATTGCTTCCATTAAGATTTGGGTTCTTTTTGTTCGTAGGTTCTGCAAATGTAATGTCTGTAAGACTTGCCTATGAAGTCTCCTAAAGAAATAGTGTTAGTTAAGTTGCATCTTTCTTCATTGATAATTCTAACATATCCATTTAGAAAATTCATCCTATGGCAAACTCCACTTTTCAAGAGTTCTATCATGGACAGATAAATTGTGACCCAGTTCTCCATATTACATTTTTCTAATTTACTCTACATCTTGATAGTAAATCGATGCCCGTTCATAAGTAACTGTTTATAGTGTTTTGTGGATTAGTTTTTAATCCATAAAACAGTATTTTAAAAACACTGTATATTTAAAAGCATTGTGTAGTGTTTTTGAACAAGCCTTATAGTGTTTTTATTTACAAAAACACTGTAAGATTAGTTCAAAAACACTGTATAGTATTTTTCAACTAAGTATTAATGTCACAGTATTTTTGAAACAAAAGCACTATATAGTGTTTTTAAAACAAAAACACTGAACAGTTAACGGAAAAACTTTTTAGATTTAGACGAAAAAATACATGACAGCTTTTGGGGAGTGTTTTTGAGATTTTGAAAATAGGAGGTGGCTGTTTGAGAATTATGAAAAGGAGGCTACCATCCAAGAAAAATCCAAAAAAAAAATATTTCCTAACAATCACACTAAATTTTTTGCTTTTTTCCCCTTTATTCTTTTCATGTTATTCATTATTAGTTACATGCTTATATGATCTTGCTCAAGAGCTAGCAAAGCAGCAGCAGCTAATGTTTTGTTTAATTTAGTTTTGGCACAAATCCTTTAATGTTATTTGCTCGTTGGAGATTGGCATATATGACAAAGCAACCAAATGAAGAATATTATTTTTCTGATAAAATGCAATAGGAAAAGCTGTAAAAGAACCTGTGTAATTAAATTTCTAAGTTATTTTATAAAGTAGGCAGTATACAAATTCTATACTTTGAATGAGATATTATTTGATGTTCAAGCTAAGAATGTACCTGAATGATTATTGCTTAATCCTCTGTCGCAGGCCAAAGCTGGAGCTGGCTCTGCAACACTCTCCATGGTCCGTCTTCTTGGTTTGCATGTTCCATTCGCCTTGCATGTTCAACTTGCTGCTGGGCATAACAACACAGTAACATCAATAAATAAAAAAAATTGCAGGCATTTGCCGCAGCTAAATTTGCAGATGCATGTCTGAGGGGACTGAGAGGTGATGCTGGCATTGTGGAATGTGCATTTGTGGCATCACAGGTACTACAATCATCTAATATCTACTTTTCATTTGTATTGTTCCAAGCATTTTCTTGATAAGTGAAAAAAAAAATTGTTGCAGGTGACAGAACTCCCTTTTTTTGCATCAAAAGTGCGATTAGGTCGAGGTGGAGCTGAAGAAATCTTCCCTCTAGGGCCACTGAGTGAATACGAAAGGTTTGTGGTCTTGTTGTGATGGTAATTACTTGTTATGATGATACTTTTGCATCAAAAGTATCTTTTTTTAAAGAATCCACACCTAGTAAATATAAGTGATGTCAAAAATAGGAGAGACTCAATGGAGTACAGATCTTTGGGGATTGACAGAACAAATGTATAGATTATGATGGCTCTTCTGGTTATTATTTGGTGATACATGAAACCCATAGAGTGATAAGGATACCAAAATCACCAAGCCTACCAATTGGTGCAATTTGGCTCAGATCTACATTCATTTTCTAGAATTTAAATTTATCTTACAGATGATTATTATTATTATTATTTTGCATCTGTATTTATTGTGGATGAATCAAAATAAAACACCACTGTAAAGAAGAATTATTTTGATGTGTTCATCTGCAATGCATGTAGGGCTGGCTTGGACAAGGCAAAGGAGGAGTTGGCAGGGAGCATTGAGAAGGGAGTTTCTTTCATTAGGAAGTGATAGATGTACAGTGACAGTGTAGCTGCTCATGCACCATTGTTGGGTGACTGCACTCATGCTGCTACATGTATATAAGTTATATACTTGTATATGCAACAAAAATTTTCTATCTCAGACTGGTAATATTATTTTCTTTATGATCCATGCTTGATCAAAAGAAGATTTAAATTTTGACAGGTTCTTGAGATATGATTTCCAAATTCTTAGTTTTGTCCCAGCTAAATCCCTTTTTAGTCCCAGTAAAAGATACAACAAAATTTATACAAGCTACATAGATCTTTTGTTATTTTATTATTAACCTGAGCTTGAATACTTTGAGCCAATAAGACTCACCAAAGTGATTATAATATTTATTTTATCAAATCAAATCAAATCAAAACAAGAACGGTGATAATCAAATAATCAATACATGTGATACTCAAAATAATCAAGAGTTTTAATCATTTTGAACCAGTAATTTAGGCTTCACAGAATAATGTATTATTTAGTCTATCGAATTGAATCGAGGCAAACACTTGTGACAATTAACAGGTTGAATTGCAAACCAGAATTGAACAATTTTATCGTTCTACGGCAAAGATCTACATCAGCCTTATCTGATCAACACATGTAACTGATAGAAAGCATCAGAATTGAACAATTTTTTCGTTCTACAGCAAAGATCTACATCAGCCTTATCTGATCAACACATGAAACTGATAAAGAGTGGATTTGATCATTTTGTACTTGGTAAGGTATCAATACCTTAAGCAAAAAGATTACTAGTAATCTTTAAAATCTACACTCTTGGTAGAAAGTTTATGAATGATCTGCATATAATGTGGTCACAAGTCCACAACTTTAGCCCATATTAAGGAAACTGGAAATAGTCAAATAGAATAGACAGCCAAACAGCTTGAGCCTTTGGCTTATTAGTTTGGTCTCCCTTCTTTTTCCCATAATAATACATAGGCCATACCATCTTAAACTTTCCATTAACCACATGAAGAATACATCTAGCAGGAAGAAAGGAATTAAAAAGAAAAAAAGAAAAAAAACCAGAGAAGTTTGCACCAGATTCTAGTTATAAAATTTGAGATGTGCCCCAATGCAACCTCCATAAATTATCTGCTCAAATGCTAGCATCTATGCCAGAGACAAAATTAGATTTGTCTTTATCTTTTTACTGTCTGTGAAGTGACTCTTTAACTTGTATATTTTTCCTGATTTCTCCATTTAAATTATATAGAGTTTTAACGACAAAACATCTCGAAAATACAATTCCAACTCTCTCAACTTCATCTTTGTATATATAAACTTTAAATTTTAGTTCAGTCTTGTGAAATGATTATTCATGTGTTTTGCTTAATTCGAGTTTGGAGATAAGAATAAAAAGCAACAGAGTTCCATCTAAATTTCCACAAATAATGAAGTCAAGATGTGCAACTTTTTTTTTTATTCTTCTATTAACAAAACCTTATGTACTTAAGAAGTCAATTTACAAGTCATTTAGAGATGCAAGTCTAAGTTCATGAATGCAAATCCAAAAGATTTGCTTTTGAATGTATCTTCTTAAATTCACTATCAGAATAAAATTCCCCAGTACAACCTCTCAACAACTTCTAGAGGAAAGAAAAACTTAATCTGAATCATCAAAATAAAATTTTCAAATCTAAATTTCGTTTGAAGAAAGAATCATACCAAAAACATCCAATACTTACTAAATTGGCAGGGGAACCTCAATATTCAATCCTACCGGCAAAAACCATTTGGTCCTCATCTTTCAGTGCTCTATGAACAGAAGACATGCAGGTCGAGCAATCTGTTATACTGACCTTGCTCTATGTCATCCTCATTCACTTGATGAAGAAGCAAAAGTTCAATTATGCAGTCCTCCCAATCAAGACTATCCACTTGGAGCTTCTTCCTTGACCTCCTTTTCCTACCCACCACCTCCTCCCCCGGGAGACAATCCTCCACCTTGCCAACTGCATCTACAGAGGATGATGGCTTCATAATCTTATGAATCCGACGCTTAGCTGCTTCGATCTTGGCTTTCCTGAATCTCCTGGCCTGCACACCAGTAACAAAAGATGGTGGCAGAGCATCATAACCTACATCTCGCTCCAACATTTGCTCGAGTGTTAATTTTTTTTCTGAATCCCATCTTCCTTCCCATGAATCCTGCAATGCAACAAAATCCAACTGGTCTTTCCTTGCCTTCTTCACTTGGACCTTATCAAACTCTCCAATTTCCTTTAGATGGGAGATTCTTTGCAAGACATTCTTGTAAGCACTTGAAATGCACTCCCCTGAGAGATTGACGTCCTCCAGAATGTTGCAGTTGGCGTTGCCATCTTCTTCACCATCGATCTCGAAATACTTGGAATCTTCCGCCTCGCCGTCTTGATAAGGTCCGGTAAGACCACCAAAGCCGAACCCTAGACCCTCAGAAAGGGCGGATTTTGACTTCCTTTCCATCAAGCGAATCAGCAAAGGGGCGTTTTGCACTACGTTCTTGACTGTGACGTCCTTACCCCAGGGAAGCAAGGATCTTGCAACCCTAACGAGCGTCTCCATGAGCTCCTTGAGCCGGAGCTTGCTCGTAGTTACCCCAGCGTAGATCTCCTTCGCGATCTCCTCCACCGAGACTCCGACCCCATTCACTTCGGCAACGAAGGCGAGGACGGCGGCTACCATCGGCAGCGGCTGGCGCCCGGTGGTGAGGAACCATTTGGTGGCGCAGTGGAGGAGAAACCGACCCTGGCCAATCAACTCCTTCGACTTCTCGGGATCCACCGCCGAGAAGCAAGGGCAGGTGCGGACCACGCGATCGAGAACGCCAGCGGCGTCAAACTCAGGGAGCGGCGGGAGGCCGAGGTGGCGGGCGACGCGGGCGGCCATGCGGCCGAGATCGCAGGCATCATGCCCTACGGCGGCGGCGGCCTCCGACAGGGAAAGGGGGAGGCGATGGCGGCGAGAAACGAGGTACGAGCAGGCGGCGACGAGTACGGGGAACCACTGACCGTCGCCGAGGGCGCCGTCGGTGACATCGGACGCCAGGGCCCCGGCCTCGGCGGCGCGGGCGGCCGAGAGGCCGAGGCGCGCGGTGAGATCGGCGATGAGGGCGCGGGCGTGGTGCAGCTTGCGCTCGCGGTAGCCAAAGTCGCCGCCGGTGGAGTGGAGGAAGCTGGTGGGCTGACCCTCCGAGGTGAAGGCCTCATGGCGGTAGTGCTCGGTGGAGAGGACGCGGCCGCAGGAGCCGCACACGCGGTCGCCCGAGTCCGGGTCCACGATCACCCTCCTGCCTCCGCAGCCCGAACAGTTCGCCATGGACGCTACGCCCGACGAGAGAGAGAGAGAGAGAGAGAGAATATATAGAAGGGCTGCCTCGCCAATTAATCGTCACAGTTCTTCTACTTCATCAAATTAGGGTTATTTAGGGCTTCGTTCCGAATTCGAAAAGAGCTGTCGCGAACTATTTTCGAAGAAAAGCTTCAATTTTGGATTTTTACCGGATTGCATTTTTAAAATAGCCAGAGAGAGTTTAATGTTTCAAAAATAATAAAAATATATTTACTAATACTTTTTTGATTCAAATTGAATTCATTACTAAATCCGATCATAGTGTTTTTTATTATTAAACAAAAAACAATATATTCAAAAAATCCATAGCCTGATTTTAACAAGTTCAAATTCTCACCTACCTTTGAGTATCATTTTGGAATTCTATAGAATGATTTATTTTAAATTTTATGTAATTTTGGATGATAATTAAGATTACTTTGGTATATTTCAAAATAAAAGATGATAAATTTATATTTTTCACTTAGGCCTATATATTTTTGTATAATCTTATATTTTTTATTTTTATTTATTACGAAAGAATGATAATAAAAAAGATGCATTCTATCCATTCCAATGTTTTTTTAATGGACTTGTAGAATTGTTATTACTAAATTAAGACATATTTGAAAATAAAATATTGCATTTTTTTTTTCTAGTTAGCATTAAATTTAGGTCTATGCATTTCACAAACTCTTCAGATATTTGTGTTTATTTCTTATAAAACATTGATAATGAAAAGCCAAGAGATTACCCTATCACAATATATATATATATATATATATATATATATATATATATATATATATATCTATTGTGGTAGAATGACAATAAAAATAATGATGAGACATTATTGTACTTTAAAATACTTAGTGTTTTCGATCCAGTAAACAAAAATATTGTGATTTCATTCCAGAACTGTAACATCCCATTAGTCCCACATCGAAAATGGGCAATGTGTATAATTAACTTATAAGAACCTGATGAATATATTATGTTAACTCCCGCTTAAGTATTTTGATCCGTGGTTGAAAGATCAAAATGAAGTTATTAGATCAAAAGGGCCCCGATCATCAGACTTAGGTCGTGACAAGAACAGTATGATTAATTGAGTCAAACATTCAACTAAAACTATACTTTAATCAAAATCAGATCTCCATGAAATTATTATTATTATTATTATAAGAGTGTTTTGATTCTTTTCAAAGGTAGGTACACTTTGGAAGATACGATAGAATTAAAGAATTAAAGAGTCGGTTCCACCGACTTGGTACGACCAATACGTTAATTCAAAATATTAAACCCTCGTTTTTAGGGTTTAAGAAGGGCCGCTTAAGCATTTTGGTCCGTGATTGAATGATCAAAATGGAGTTATTGGACCAAAAGGGTCCGATCATCAGACTTGGGTCGTGACAAGAACAGTATGATTAGTTGAGTCAAACATTCAACTAAAACTATACTTTAATCAAAATCAGACCTCCTTGAAATTATTATTATTATTATAATAAGAATGTTTTGATTCTTTTCAAAGGTAGGTACACTTTGGAAGATACGATGATGGAGGCTTTTGAGTCCGTAAAGGCCATAAGGTACCAATTCGGTAAGAATTAAAGAGCCCGTTCCACCGACTTGGTACCACCAATACGTTAATTCAAAATAAAGATGAGGACTAAAATGCAATACATCCCTTTGACCTCCAAACCATCTGTCTGTGTAAAAGTAGAATAAGGTCGAGGACGAAAATGTAACATACCCCTCTGGACCCCGCGACAACACTATATATATAAATATAATATAGGTGAGGACTAAAATGCAATACGCCCCTTTGGTCTCCCCAGTCACCGAACCCCTCGTTTTTAGGGTTTAAGGAGGACCCTCCTCTGTTCCCCACTTGTTCGCTTTCCAGAGCACGGAGATGGCGTCGCTTTGCAGGTCCGTCGTCGTAGCCGCGGCGAGATCTGCGGCGGTCCGCTCCAAAGCCCTTCTGCCGAAGCACTCGCTGCCGCGGAGAGCCTCCCCTCTCGTTTGCGGGTGAAGCAGCGCCTTCCGTAGACCTGGCATTTGATGCCCTTCCCCTCCGGTATCTCTCTGGATTTGGGGCTCTTAAATTTTCTCTATTGCGTTGTGCAGGTTGGCCGCGTTGGCGTCGGTACCCATCGACTCGTTGATGCCGCTCCACAGCGCCGTCGCCTCTGCTCGTCTCAAATCTTATATAGCTGTTGATTCATCTTGTTGGAGCTGCCTCTCTCAAGGTAATTGGTTTCCACCCGGAGTTCCAGAATCTAATCTTGTCTGACAAACACGGTGCTTTTCCCCTAATACTTCCATCCGGAAACAAAAAATCTTTAAAGCGCTGGTAATGGAAATTTTAGGTTATGTTTAGTTCTCATTACTAGTAGCTGTTATCGAAGTGGAGCATTGAGTTAATACAAGTTCTCTGTAGATCTAGCTGGTATTTCAAACTATATTTTTGGTTAATTTTTATTGCAAGATTGGAATATGTCTTTTGGCCATTGTGATGATTGGTTTATGTGAGCACATGTGACAATGGATGTAAAAAGTGCAAATGCAGAAGTTGAATCATATTCAAAAGTTAATCGGACACTGTTGTTCTCTTTTTTCAAGTAAATGAAAAGTGATATCATAACTTGGTATGTTGATGAATTGATACTGCAAGTCAATGCCGTAAAAGATGTTGGAAATAGAGGGCTGAAACGCATGGTGTGTCCTAATATAATCCTATAAAGCTTCTCTACGATTTTGAAGTTGGGTATAAGTTTTTAGCTTAGAAATTTGGACTGTATCAATCAACTGAAACCAGGTTGTTTTATAAGTTTTGGCTCTCTTGCTACTGTTTTTTGCTTTTGGTTTCTTGCGATAATATTGTTTGATAAGATCTGAGTTCTCATGAAAAAGTCTGCACATGGGAGAGAGTTGTTCTGATGATTCTTCAATTTAGATGGCTACCATGAGGACCATATATCATCTATTTGGTAGTGGAAAAGGAAGGATTTATAAATTTTAGTTGTTCTGATGATTCTTCAATTCAAGTATTAAAAGGAATGTTGAAACTGATGTTTATTTTTTGCACATGTTTTGCCAATGGACTTTGGGTGAAATATTAACATTCTTAATTAGTCCTTTTAGAATTGGTTTCTACCTTTGTTTTTATTTTTTATTTTTTCTGAATTCGAAGTACAAGACATTGAAGCAGATTAATTCTACATTTACAGTTCTAATTTTATATAAATGGATAATTATGTTTAGACATGCTGACAGTTGGTTTTGATTTGTATTTGCATTGTATTAGAGTAGCAAGGGAAATAAGAATCATACTTGCATATATTCTACCATCCACCTCCAATCTTGTAGTAACAAAATAGTTCCACTGATGCATGTTAAAGTTGTAATCTGGAAAGTATTGGTTGGTAAATTGTACTCCTTTCAGTTTGCTTTTGTGGTAAGATTTGTCCTCCTTTCAACTACTAGAGAATAAGAGTTCATTTTCTTACTAGGAAGTCCATTTGGTAGATCTTATGCTTTTTCTTTTTGGGCATAATAAAATATTCAGTGAAATAAAAATAATTGGTGAATGAGATCATTTTCAATTTATGATAAATCTAGTTTATTGAATCAGAAAGGTTTATTCAGTTATCGAGGACTTTGCTTGAGGATATCTTAATCCAATTATGGAAGGCCAAACATACAGAACTCGTTGGGCTAATTCACTATGCACGTATGCCTAGGGACCGAGAGTTGCATATAAAAATCTCCTGATAAATCTTTTAAAGTTAATGATCATGCAGGTAATTTTCTAGACTTGGCAAGATTGTGATGTAGATGACTTGGCAAGATTGTGATGTAGATGGCTAAAACCATTGAGCTTAGGAAAAAATGTTAATAAATTGTCATTTTATTTGAATGGTGGTGGTGTTTGAACACAAAATTATATTATTGGAAGAAAATTATAAGTCCTATATTGATCAAATGAAAGATGAATAATCATAAATTTGAATGCTGATGGTGGAATTTTGTGCAATATTACTTCTTGGCGATGGTGCATACAGATAATGTCATCTCATGTTGTTATACAAAGCAAAATTTGATTTTGTTGGTTATCATGGTGGGGTTTTATTTTGTTGTACGCTGGTCAGTTACCATATGTAAAAGCGAATAGGACTTCTTCTGGTCAGAATTTGTACTTGGTGGTCATCTTCTACCATTTAGACCATTAGACAAGTTTCTAATACTGGTCAGATTGATATATACGAGTTGGGGTATTTACCAGTCTGACCAAGTGTTAGTATCAGACCATATAGGTTGCTATCAGTCGGTATATATATTTATTATTGTCTTCAGTGATATTGGATGGTATACGTCAGAAACTGTTTGGTATACTGGTATCATTCTGATCTGGAAAAGATGTCAACGTAAGTGTCAGACTGATCTGGTACGTTTTAAACTTGTTGTCAGATGCTAGCAGATAGTATGTCCTAATGCATCTCATTCTTCATGCAATCATGGTTTAAAAGACTGCAATGACAATCATCTGTATATGCTGCACCTGTATAGCAATATAGAGTTCTCTCACATCTTTTTTTCCTTGAAATGTTACTTGTATCCCACTAGGTAATCAGCATATATTAAGTTTTTTTGTGGCGTATGTGCCTTTCCAATTTGTTACAAAACTATTGCACTCTGAATGGATTAGGAGCCCAGATTAAACATATATATGCTGCATGATCAAACAGTTCTAGGCTACTTGTTGACATCTTTTAATATTCACATTTATGACTTGTTACTGATCAGTTGTACATCTAGATATCCACCAGCAAACTTAGGAAAAATATGGAAATACTCAAATTTACATTATTTAACCATCATATGGAACTTATCAGAGTTTGTAGGATAATGAAGGAGTCAGCTGGATGCCGGTCACTATAGGCACCCTTCTTTGATCACTTTACCTTTTGATTCCTCTGAGCATTCTTGCACACTTTCTTCACTTTGTCCTTGTCTTTTTTAAGCCCTAGATTTGTTGACAATTTCTCATTGGGTTCCTGACTCTGTTTTCATTACGAGTTTGCTTCATCCCACTTCCGACATAGTGTCTTCGTTTCATCTAGAAACTTCACTCTCAAGTTGGGATATTAAAATTTTTAAGTTGTTGCTCCCCTTACAAACCACCTCGTCTTATTGACATTTCGCATCATGATCTATTATCCTTAACAGCTGAGGTCACAACAGGATATATTATTTCAACCATCACAGTAGTGCATGCATGGAGAACACTGTGATAATGCGCAACTGGAGGTATGGGGCACCATCTGGTTAGTTTAGCCCTTCAATTAGAGTTTCTAGTGGATTTAGCTTACAAGTTTTTTAATTTTAAGATGGTGATCATATATCTCAGACGCCAATGATGGCAATCTTGTTGGTAACATGACTTCCTTATGATGTAGAACGTGACCACTTCCAATAGGATGCAATATTAGATTAAGCTTGTTTGTACTTCAAAAATTAAAGCAATTAAGCCATGGAGATAATCAACATATGAGGCTGAAGTTGTTTGTGGGAGGTTATGTTGTCTCCCAATTTTTAGAAAATTCCTTCTGAGTACCTACTATTAAAACAGCTAAATCTGTCAGATTAAGCTCGAAACTGCAGTTCTGGATAAGGTGCTGAAGGGCTAAGAGTTTCTTGGTCCTAATTCCTTTTCGGCATGCAAGTCTAAACTGACTTGTAATACATATAATTTGACTTTGTTTGTGGTAACCCCATTTTTACAAGGTTTTCATTTAATTTATTGTTTGCTTGATACTTCTCCTCAAGCAGTGGTTCTGCCACTGTATTGATTGGTTTCTCCACTTGAGTTCGATATAAAAACAATTCTCAAGTTGTGAATCTTTCTGCCACCGAGTAATCTTCTGATTCATTCTTGGTTTGTTCCTTTGTCTTAATAGAATTTGGGGTCCCTCGGTGACACAAACTGAAGTCTGGAACTATTCTTTTACCAGGGTGTGCTGCTCTTGGTGGTGTTTTCTGTGGCTAATTTATGGAACTCGCCATGTAGCTATAATGTCCGACGTGTTTTACCAAATCTTTTCCTCCTGGAGTTAGTTACGTTATATTGCTTTCTTTAGATTTCAATTAGATCATTACAATAAATATCTTGTATGTTCAGATTAAGTAGGATTAAGATACTATCGTACAGAAAAGTCTTTATGAAACATGGAAGAGTTGATCTCACGAAGCCATGCAATGTACAACAAAGAACTGTTTTTAGCTTAAAGAGATTAGAACAATGTCACTTTCATCTTGACCATGATGTGTACCCTCTTCTCATTGTGCACCAATTATATTGTATGCTTGTTGGAAAAGGCTCGAGGGTCAACAAAACTGGTGATTCGATGCTTGTTTTTCTAAAGTGTGATGTGATGGGCTAGGGTGAGCCTTTACTCTGAATTAAAATATTAAAAATGTTGACTAGCTTAACTAAGAAAAATCTTAATCCATGATATTTAGATTTAAGTCATATTAGTATTTGATAATGTTGTTTATAGACTTTTCAAGCATAGAAGATCACTAATAATATGAAAAAAAATATGGTAACAGCAAGTGCTGTGATCAAATCCAGTCTTTGTCACTTAAGTTTGCAAAAGGAAAGAAACTATAATATGAACAATGACAGAATATGTGATGTAATACGTATATATGGAATATAGAGGAGTAAGCTCTTTTAATAGAACGATATCTAAATAAAACAAAGGGAATCATATCAAAATTTTGATCAAAATCACCTCTTTGAGTGTTCGTGAATCGCATAATTCTCGTGATTTTTCATTCGAAATTAGGAAAATAATAAATTAATTATGTGACACGCAGCAAAGAGGCACTTACAACAATCATTCGACCTTACTATTTCATTATTTAAATTAGTGGCATTAGTAAAAACCGAAAAATTCTCCTTTTAAAAGAGTCATCACTTCCAATTATGTAAATTATATTCGACTTAAATATTGCATCATGTAAAAAAATAATGGAATTAGTGAAGACTGATAATTTCCAATTGCCTTTTTTTGGGGCCTTCATGCAGCGAACCCAACAACTAAGCACGACTCTTAAAGATACCCAACTTAGAAAGTTGTGATGGCACGCGGAGATGCATCACCACCGGGTTCCAGAGGTCACGTCCATCTCAGCTGCCTCATCGCTTTCGAATCCTCCGAAGGATAAGAGAGAGACAGGGAGAGACGAGAGGTGCTCAAATTTCCGATGTGGGCTGTCCTCGATTCAAGATCACAAGCTGCGCAATCCTAATACGCCATCGATGTCTCTAGCCTTTTAGTCCATGATTCCGGGGCGTCGGAATTGATTGAGAGGTATCGGCGAAGCCACAGACACCCCGATTCGAATCGGCCGCCCTCCCGGTGAGCTGTGGTAACGAGATGTTCCCTGCTTTCTGTGGAATATTCTATTGTTATTCCTGTGGCCTATACGGCTGAGAGAGAGAGGAGCCACCGTGGTGGGGCTTTGGTCTTTTGTGCGACGTGTTGATTGTGGGAAGAAAGACTTCAGTTTTATTGTTTTTATTTTTTTTTGTTTGTCTCGTTTAAGCCTTGTATTTTTGCGGTGTGGACGTGTTCTATATTTTCTCGGTCATTAAAAATCAGATTTTGATGGGAAAAGGAGAACGAAGGTGGAAGAATTAGCTATGGAGCGGCTTCTTTTGGTGCGTTGGTTTTGTATCTGTTTCCTTAGGTCCTTTCTATGATTCAAGAAGGTTCTCCTTTTTTGCCATTTAACTTGGAGTACCTTATGGGCGTGATCTTCTAAACTGAACAAAATATGTATCAGAACATAGTCGTTTGGATGTTTCTTTCCATCTGAGTCTCCTCAAATCTGGGTTTGTTCGAACCGAGTACGAGAGAAAGATCAAATCTCTTTAAAGTTTTGTGTGTTTAGTGGAGATTTGTGTTCCCCCGCAACAGTAACTCGGTGTATTTTGCCTTTTGGTGCTTATTAGTGTGTTGCTTCTTTTCTTTATTCCTAAAAGACAACTTTGTGTTTACTTGGCCTCAAAAATGTTTTGATCTTGGACCAGAAGAAGAAGAAAAGATAGCTCCCTCCACCGTTTCTGGTCATGTCATTCATAGTGTGTTTTCATTGATAACTACTGTTTTCCCAGGTGGGTTTCTTACATATTTCATAGAAACGTTTCAAGGAAAAATCCTGTTGTTACTAAATGTCTTGTCAGTGCTTCTGAGATTGTCTCTTCTCACGATGGTCTCAGGTTTGAGCTTGTCTAATTGTGCTTACTGTAACATTCTTTCGAAGCCAGGCCAGTAGAATCATGTATTTTGTTTGATTAGGATAGACTAGCCTTTGCAACTGATTTCAGCAAAGAATGAATGATATATCTTTCAGATGTTTCTGAAATTTCTGTAACTTAACTGCTAGTGCAAGTAGTGAATTATGGATTAGCTCGAGAGAATACTTTTTTTTTTGGTTGTCCTATGATTCATTTTTGTTTCTGTGAATTGTTAATCAGTTTTCCTGAATTGCCGGATGCAGATGATTAGCTTTAGTTTTGCTTGGGCTGATATGTTAAACTCTGTTTCTAATAGATCCATGGCCCAATTACGAGACTAATTTGAGAAGGCATTTCTTGGAGGATGCAATCCAAGGATGGAGAGTTGTGATCCTGCCACTATGGATCAGCCATCCAGTCCTGGTCGGAAGATTATCCTGCACCCCCTCTATGTTCCAAAGTCACCACCTTGGTTTGATCTGAGGGTATTTTATGTAAGGGTGAGCAATTGCCAGATTGATGAATCAACTCCTGAGCATCTTACAGTTCATCACATTCCGCTTACTCCCGACACCATCCTCGAAGTGAATGGTAGAAGAAGTAGCATTTACTCTGATTATGTTTCTTCTTCACTTCGAAGGGATAGGGTTGATAAGAGAGCGGAAGAAGCTACATTTGTTAGCACAGATAGCATTAGGATGACTGGAAGTATCAGATTTGAGGTCTATGATAGAGATTGTCTAGTGCTTGCTGGTATCCTGGAACTGTGTAATTCTAATGGTTTTAGTGGGGACACAAAGAAACACAACAAAAAGTGGAGCATGAATTGTCAATCTGTAATTTTGACTGGCATGAGCTTTCTAAAGAACAAACAGATTATGAGTGTGGAGATTAATTTGCCTATGATTGAGGTATACGTTGCTGGTCTTTTCTCTGGTGCTCCCATTGTCTTGACCAAGACTCTTCAGCTTGGTTTTCTTAAGAAGCATCAGATGAAGGTTATGCTGGATTCCATTCCAGAGGATGATACAATGGAACTGAAGAAAGAAATGGCATCTGAGGATGGTTTTGAGGTACCTGTCTTTATGGTTTGCATTTCTCTATGTCTTTACAAATGATAGGGTACATCATATTTTCTTAACGTTACTGTGAGTGGATAATTTGCTCTCATTTTAGAGTTGTCAGTTGTTTCTGATTATTATTCAGAAGACATGAAGGATTTATATAGCCCAAGGCACATTTAGTACCACTTTGATCTCCATTCTGGATTCACTGGCACATAATTGTCTTTGTTAAGTTATAAATTGCAGATGTTTACTGTTCTCACAAGGAATTCACTTAACTTTCTTACCTGCATGTTTTGACTGTTGAATTTTTTCTTCATACCAATCCTTCATGAAGGTTATGAAAAATCATGGGAACATAGAGGATCCCAGTTCCTGACCTCTTATGTTGAAATGCTTTTGTTTTATTTAACATATATTAGACAATTTCTTATGTTCAAATATAACCTGAATCACCAGTGATCTGGCTTAACTATAAAATTTCTGAATTACTTATTTTACTATTTATATTTCCCCATATTTTTTGGTTGCACATATTTAATCATTATATATTTAACACTTCAAAATACAGAACCTTATAACAGTTGATGGAAAATTCTAAAATGTTAAATTCTAGATTTAGGATATTGGTCATCAAACTCATACATGTGAGAGAAATTTGACAGAATAGCTAAGATGCTCAGTAATCTCTGGTCCAATGGCAGGTCAAATTTTGCATTTATAGTTCATCAAATTTGCATGCTCTTCAAAATAATTTAAATGAAATCGTTTTGACATGCAAGGAGTAAGAACATAATGGCTGCATCCATATGATTTTCCTTATCATCTCACCAGCCAAAAGATTGGATATAAAACACTTAAGAATACTTTAAAGCAAGGTTCGCCATACTGTACCGTACCGGCGTTTCAACCCGGGCTCGGTATGGTACAGTACCGGTGTATCGAGCGGTACATCAGAGCGTACCGAGCGGTACACCCTGGTGTACCGAACAATTTAATATTTTTTCCATACTGTAGCACTGTTACAGTGATACAGTACTATACTGTAGCACTGCTACAGTATAAAAATAAAAAATATTCGGTACACCACGGCATACCGCTCGGTATGCCCTGATGTACCGCCTGGTATACTGGTACCGTACCATACTGAGCCCGAGTCGAAATGCCGGTACGGTACGGTACAGCGAACCTTGCTTTGAAGTTTGTAAAATATATGTGTTTCTTCTCTTTATGCATATAGATCTTTATCATTCATCGTTCTTGTAAACCATGTGTGCATCTCTTCTCTAAACACATATCGCTTGTCATATTTTATGACAGCAGCCCACATGAGACCCCTTTGCAAAATCTTTCTCCTCTTATAAGCTCTTGCACAAGCATGATATATGAGCATATTACTATGGGCCATATAATAGGATTTTGAAAGAGTCACATCAGATAGAAAATTATTGGGAGGGCATGTTGAGACACAAAACAATATCCTTTGGAGAAACATTTAAGGTGATGTTTAATATTAGATTATTATTGGAAAAGGTATTCTTTTGGTTGATATTAGTCTCTATGTCCTATAATTGATTAATATGATTGACATAGGTTAGAAAGTGTTTTTGATTTCTTTCTCTTATATGATCGAATGTGAAGTAAACATGAACTTTTTAAAATTTTGTTGTTAAGTTGAAATTTGGCTTTTCTATCAATTATAATTTTTCTATGGGTGTTTTTGGCACCTCCTATGATGAGATCTTAGCTCTTTGCTGTCAAGTAACAATATACTAGCATTGATCCCTGAGATCCAAGTTGGTAGATGGTCAAGTGTTATCATAAAACGTGTAGATTTATTTTGCAGTATTAGAGCTGACATGCAACTCTAAACGATTAGTTTAAAATCTTGTAAGCTTATACTTTTAATTAAATTGCTGCAAATATTTTAGAAGCGGAATTTTTGCAAAATTTTGCAGGTATAGGGAGTCAAAACAAGAACAAGCTCTATTGTGGCAAATTTTGACTTTGCTAGGGCCCATGTTTGCAGATATTTATAGCATTATATTGTGATATATTCATAAAAATGTTTTGTATAATTAGGGATTACTCATCATAAGCATTTTGGGCCATGGGTCAACTCTTATTTCACTTTTGTTAGGCTAGTCAATCACTTTGATTACTAGATATGCTATCATAGCACTTATTCAAGTTAGGATATTTGTATTGTCAGTGATTAATTGTTACCTCTGGAGTAGAAAATCTGAGTTCTGTCTCAAGGGATATTTTTAGTTAATATTACTTTTGTTGAGCATGATGTTTCCAAAATTCTGTCTCTTGTGGGCTAAAGTACTTTGAGCAAAGCTAAAGTGTACCAAGAAAATGAAAGCCTGTCAAAATTTGAGGTTGAACAATTTCTTGCAGGTTTAAGATTGAATCACTAAATATCAAATTAATAAAATGACCAATCTAAGGGAGTAATTGTCATTCTAGAAGAATTTGGACCCAATGCTAAGTTCTAAAGTATGGTTTGGGAACCAAGAAATTAAAAGAATGCTAGAAAGAAATACACACAATGCTGTAATTGGCATGATTGTAATGTAGCTGCAAAATATAGAGGTTTTAAGATTACCTGCATATATCTATTGCCTTTTGCTTGTACCTATGATGGAATTAAAACTTTAAGATGATGTTTAGGATTTTGGTATATAGGATTAATCTCTCAACAAACAGTTCGGTATGCTATATAGAAATCATTATAGAATTGTTAATGGTAACAAAATATAGAAATATTACCTTTAAAAGGAATTGTACACAATTATTAAGAGATAAAAAGAAAGAAGAGGGTAAAGGGGGCAAGAGTTTGGGAAAAATACTAATCTTCTCTCATCAGTTATAATGTTCTTGGCATAAGACGGTTGCTATTTAGGCATCGTATGGTTCTCACTATAGAAATCTTGCTAGAGAAAACTTATTCAAAGAATTTGTATATCTCATTAGATTCTATGAAAGATTATCTAGATCTTCTAAAGTTCTCTCTTATAACTTAGCAATTCCCTCAACGATACCTTCAAAAAGGGGAGACATCTCTCTCATATTCTTATAGATGCTATGACTCACTGGCTACTTAACAAAGACAACCTTTTATTATTTCCTAGTCTCGCAGAGCTCTATGTCTAGGAAATCTAGACTTCGTCTTCCTGTTATTATTAACCTGTTATATTGCTACAGGTGTTCTCTTCTATTTCCATTTTTTCTGTTGAGGAGTATATATTCAGTACTTGTTACACTGTTGTCTGATCTGTAGCATCAAAATCAACAACCCACAAATAACAATGGAGATAATCTGTTGTTTAAACACACCGACATATTGGGCACAGGTAAACACACACAATATAGACATAATAATTTGAGGTTAGATGAAAGATTAAAGAATTGGAGGTGTAGAACTTTACATAGAGGTCATAACAGCGTTTTACTTGAGACCATTCCATATGCATGAGGCTGTCAGCTTTGGGACTCTTTAAGTGATGCAATTATCCTCGATGACTTTTGGATATGACTTTTGGTGCCTAGTATAGTGCAAAATCGACCTTACTTCTCGTTACGTGCAAAGTGTCATCACTGTGACAAGATTGATTAGAAAGTGTGAAATTCAAGAAGTAGGTTCAAACTCATGGCAGAATCTGGTTCTTGCTAAAAAGGCTTGTTCTTTAACATATCAATCTTGCTTAGTCTTAGTTTTTGTCTAAGCCATCAGTAATGCTTGCCAGATATTTTCTTAGTTTCTCTTCTTTTAATGAATTTGGAAAAGCTCATTTAGATTACATTCGCCAAAAGAATTTGGTTCGTACACATCCTTATACCTCTTTTTATTGGTGGCTGAAATGCTCCTTCCCATCTATTTGCCCTAATTTTTAGCTATATTACCTGCTATAATCTTTTTATAGCCTCATGCAGAACCTGTTCTGACTACTGTTGTTGTCACTGTGCAGTTATCAGAATACGGAGGCTACAACCAAGAAACTGATCTGGACATGGATTACAACGAAATGTACACAAAAGCTGAATATTTGGAAGGAGAAGATGGCGAACTTTTGTGGTTCAATGCTGGAGTGAGAGTTGGTGTGGGGATCGGCCTCGGTGTCTGCCTTGGTATCGGAATAGGAGTTGGCTTGTTAGTCCGCACCTACCAAGCCGCCACCCGAAACTTCAAGAGGCGACTCGGCTGATGCTAGGCCAAAATAGTGTTGTAGGATCAGTAGCCATCGGCATTGCAGCGGCCATGTTTCTTTGCTTTCTGTCCCTTGTCGATAAAACAGCTAACTTGTTTATGCTCCATGGTACTTTTTTCTGCTGTAAATGTTTTCCACAACAGGTTTTGATTGCTCTTAAAAATATGAGGTTTGCAAGCATTTGAGATTTTCATGGCATCACATTTATTAGTAGTATCCCTAAAACAAGCACCTCTTCACTGCTTTAAAGAAAGGTTACATTGTAGCGTTTGTACAAGTCATTCACCACTAATGTTTGTGAGAATTGAGAAAGGCAGTAGATTGAAACTTGAGCTTCTTCTGAAGCACAAGTGTGAGGAGAATCATTGCCAAACCTATGAGATACGTTAAAGGTAATTGACTCTTCAAAAGAGTGATTTGACCAACTTCTTTGTGGAAACAAATACTTGTGGCAATTCCTCCCCCCAAAAGAACAAGTCAAATTAGGCCTCTCAAGCATTATGTTGGAATCAAATCTTTTCTCCAAAAGCACATGTATTTTTTCCTCGAATAATGAAGAGAAAAATAGAGGAAGAAAGAGAGAGAGAGAGAGAGAGAGAGAGAGAGAGAGACTAAGGATGATGGTAACCCTAAAAAATTCAATATATATGCTTTACAAAATAATAAGTGGGCATTAAATCTAATAAATATCTATCAGAAGTATGCCTATATATATATATATATATATATATATATATATATATATATATATAATTCTTAATTTTTTAAAATAAATAAAATATTTTTTTTATTATATTAAATGTACTTATACGTAAATTAAAGTTTTAGAACTATTATTTTATGTAATATTATGCTAACTAATCCGAATGTCTAGAGGCTTAATGATTAGATTCTTAAAAGGATTCGGTACTGTAAAAAAGGAGCCTGCAATATTATCTCTCTTCAATTAATTGACTTTTTTTATTCCTAAATCGTCACCTCGGATTATTTATTTTCCCTTGAATTATGTACTGACTTTAACATATTGGTTGTAGGATTTCTATATTACGAGTGGGTGGGTGTAAACCGAGCGTCGCTGTCCGGACGTCTACACGTCTTTGAATACGAGGTTGGTCAAAGCGGCGACCGTTTCCTGTTTGTTCTCTCGGGGCCGTCGACGACTATAGAGAAAGCGGAGAAGTCGAGTAGCGGCAGCAGCTGGAAGTGGTGCGGTAGAGGCGATCATGGCTCTCGTCAAGGCTAAGCAAATCGTTTCATCCAACCCCGTGGTCGTCTTCAGGTCGGATCATCCTTCCGAACTCTCTCTCCTGTCCCTCTCTTCGAGTCTCGTCATGTTCTGATTTGTATGTTTACCTTTTTCCAAGATCTTGACGCTATAGAGATGGTTTTTGATTTTTTTTGCTGATGTTTATTCGCTCTTTTCCCTCTTTTAATGGGTCAAAAATATCTATTTGATTGTTTATAACCCTTCATTTTTCTGTGTGTTTTGGGTTCTCTTTTGATGGGGAACGGCAAAATTTTAATATGGGTTTGATTCTCGCCTATATTTTTTTTAACCCATAAATATTTTTCGTAAATTTGTAACCCCCGGAAAAAAAAAAAATCTTTTTTTGGTTTGTCTTCTTCTGGTCGGTCAAAGGGTTGAGATCTTGCCAGCGTACAAATTGATTATGATTCATCGTTTAAATGGCTCATAATCTTGACAACTCAAAGTTAGCTTTTTTATTTTCTCCCGAGATTATAACCCCTCAATTTCCTTTTGTATTTTCCCGTGGCATCCCTTAATTTCTTTCTGTTTGTTGACTTTTTGATCGGGGAAGGAGACCAAAATCTTTTTGTATTTTCCGGATAAATCCCTCATTTTTTTTTGTTTGTTGACTTTTTGATCGGGGAATGAGACCAAAGTCTTTTTGTATTTTCCCATAAATCCCTCAATTTCTTTTTGTTTGTTGACATTTCGATCGGGGAAGGAGACCAAAATCCATTCTTTCCTGTGTTTTTTTAAATTGTTCGCAAGTGTCAAAATGTTGATATGATGGTTCAGATACTAAGCGATCAGAGTAGCTTTGTTGTCCTACTATTGTCTGTTTAATATGAGGATTGCTAACCTTAACTTTGGATGATGATATTATTTTCACTTATATGTGTTGCCATGTGCTTTTGCCTTCGCTTTTTTTATCCCCTTATGGATTGTCTGTGTTGTACCTGAGTTTAGCTTTTGGTGGCTGCAGCAAGTCATACTGCCCATACTGCACAAGGGTTAAGCAGTTGCTAACACAATTGGGGGCCAAGTACAAAGCAATTGAGTTGGATGTTGAGAGTGAGTATTCCCTCCCTGCGCTAGTTTCTTTGCTGGGATTTGACCATAGATTTCTAATGTTGGTCTTCCTTTCATGGCTGTATGAAAGCTCGAGGAAATGTTGATATGGTTCTTCATGTTCTCCTCCTGGATATGAGTGTTCTGTACTTCTTTATGATTTTATGTTGGAAGTTATAGAATGAAATTTACATCAAGTAAATAGATTGAATGGATCACAGTATTAGTACTCTACAGAAGCAGTAAACTACATAGCTTAATGCCAGTATTTTCTCAGATTTTTTTACTTTTCCATCCTTAGAAAGTGTAAATTGGTGATTTTTAAGTCCATTAGTGATGAATTGTGCATCTTGTTTGAGGACTCACTGACCAGTTTATCAGTACTCTTCAAAATACTTATTAAAGATGCAATTGATCTGGATGTTGCAAGTGAGTATTGCCTTTTTGTTTGTGGGTGGGATTTTGGTCTAGCATGATAATGTTGGTCTTTGTCTCCAGTTCGATGGCTGTATGTAATATGTACGCTTGAAGAAATGTCGATACAGGATTTTGGTCTAGCGTGTTAACGTTGGTCTTCATTTCCAGCTTGATGGTTCCATGTACGCTTGAAGAAATGTTGATATGGGATTTTGGTCTAGTGTGTTAATCTTGGCCTTTGTTTCCCATTTGATGGCTGTATGTACACTCGAAGGAATGTTGATACGGTTCATGTTTTCCCTCTGGATAGTGTTCTGTGCCTCTTGGAGACCTTATGTTAGAGGCAACAGAGTGCTCTTCACATCAAGTTGATAGATTAAGTGGATCACAGTAATAATACTCTATAATAACGGCAAACTGTATAGTTTAACAACCATATCTCCTCAAAATTTTTGACTTGTGTCATCTATAGTAAATATAATTTATGATTATACATGCCTATTATTGCCGAATTGTTTTGAGGACTTGTTAACCAGTTTATTAATACTCTTCATAATACAGATTAATGATGCTATATCTAGCCAAAAAAATTTTCTTAGTGACTGTGTATGTGATTGAAATTCATGAAAGAGAGCAAAAATAATATTCATGCATGCTTGTATGTTGGTCTAGTAAATATTTAATTTATAGCTATGATCTTTTGGGCCTAGAGCAATTTTTCTTTAGCTTTCAACTTGTGATTGTGCTCAATTTTGTGCCATTCTTTGTCTCAATGATGTTTGCTGTACATACCATAGTATTTGGTGGGTTATAAATTGAGATGTAGAACTTTTAATGGAAATAGGATATTGTGAACACTTCCTTTTCTTGAATTGCATATTATGCAATAGCTTTGGAATTCCATGCTTTCTGCAAACTACGCTACGTATTACTGAGTAAGATTCTGACTAAATCTTCTGCATGTAGGTGATGGGCCTCAAATACAAGAAGCATTGGCAGAATGGACTGGGCAGAGAACTGTTCCAAATGTTTTTGTTGGTGGGAAACATATTGGTGGCTGTGATAGTACGTCCCTTGGCCTTTCATGTTCCTACACAAATTTGGCGTAGACATATATCTTTTGTTCCCCTTTAGTCTCAAACTTGTAATGATAACCTCTGATTTTGCTTTTGATAGATGTTATGATGCATCATTGCTATAAGATGATAGTCATCGTCATTTGTTTTTGGCTTTAGGATAAACAATTTAAGATCTCATCTATCCCGAAAAGTTTTCATGGAAGTTGTGTAGTAGAATGGCAGACGTACAAATCTGATACATTTCTGATAATATAAACATGATGAGTACATATAGATGCAAAGAAGGATTTTCATGTTTATGTCACTAATTAACTAGCCATTACATGTCTTCCAGCTTTCTGACTGATGAATGATTTCAACAGATACCATGGCGAGTCACGGTAAAGGCGAGCTGGTCCCTCTGCTAGTTGATGCTGGTGCCGTTGCTCGTGCAGCATATCGCGTTGTTTAAATACTAGTAAGATGTCTGATCTCAGCCTTTCCAGAATAAAAGATGAGGGAACTTCTGTTCAGGACTTTGTTTCTTCGTCACTGCTATGTCAAAACGTTTTCTTCACATCAGTTTGGGTGCTATTGTTATAAATCTATAAACCGAAGATGTGAATTCGGGTCTGTTTCTTTCTTCCTCTGTTCTTGAACTGTTGGTTGGTGTATATTATGTTGGTGATGGAGAAAACGGGTAGATAAATTATTGAATCGTGGATTTCGCATTAGATCATGAAGGTTCCTCGTTTGGACGTATGAATGTGGCACCAGTTCAGATTTCGTGCTGCAAATTCCAAACGCATAATGGTGGTGGAAATATTTCTACCCTGCTTCTGTTTCGTTCTTGTGTTTATGTGCACTGAACAATAGACATCTCCGACGGGTTGGGTGGATTAATATGCTATTAATATGGTTCAAATATAAGGCAGAAAGTGTAGCCTTTCTTGTTAAGCTAATATCTTCATAGGGATGTCAGCGAGGGGGGGGGGGTGAGATGAGCAGGGAATGCTCCCTTTGTCCCTATCTCCATCTTATTTTTCTATCTCTCATCCTCATCCTATTCCCCATTTAGTGAGGATGGGGAATCTCTCCTAACTAATTTATTTTTTTAAAAAAAATAAAATTACTATCAAACCTAATTAATAATATTAAAATTTATATATAATAAAAAAATATTTAATATAAATAGAATCATAGCATATGAGAGAGGTAGGGGAAGATAGAGGAGGATCAAGGAAAGTGATGATTGCTATAATAGTCGACGAGGTAGACCCATGAGGTGGGCGAGAACAATTGCGATGATAGAGCAAGGGGCTATAATGAGAGGCGAGAGTATT